AATTAATAAAAAAAAAAATATATATATATATATATATATATAATTTATTTAGTTGTTTATTTTTTGTCCTATGGGTACCTTTATACTAAAAAAATAATGGGTTATAATGAAAGTCTGTTTTTTTATTTAGTGTAAAAGTTAGATGATATTTACAGTGAGTGTTAATAGTGGTAGATGCTTTTTGTTCCACTGTAGCAACAAATAGTGTTTACACTAACTTCATGTTTACACTAAGTGCAAATAGTGGTAGATACTACCATAGACACGCTAAGTGTAAACAAAAGTAGGCTAAATATGATATTTGCACGTAAGGTAAAACATCTTAGCAAGGCTTATCAGTGTTATTATTTAGGTGTAATATGGACAGTGGTGCCATGTGGTACCTGTTACTTTTCTCACCGCTGGTGTGGAAGGATCAATCACAGTCGTTTGTGATTAGTGGATGAAGATCTGTACAGAATAACGTTGTAGTAGAGAATATATTGGGGCTGCATTTCATTCAAGTATAGCCTACACATCTGTCTCCCGTGACACAGAGGCGTCCCGAGGTCTGAACGCGGCTCTATGGCGGATTCATCTTCTCTAGGCCCCCTGCAGGAGACAGAAGAGTCTGCGTCTGGTAGGAAACAGTGATTCGTTGGCAGCAGTTGATCGGAGCAGGAGCGCATGCTGTGGACCGCTGCAGTAAAGCAATGATGGCCACTAAACTGACTCAGCTTCTCCTTTGCTTTTGGATAACTTTGCCATTCTGTATCACGGAAAAAGTCAAAGAAAGGAGCGCCCGGCAAAGAGACGCGGAGTTCACTGACAGGGTAGGATTGTAGCCTACATTTCTTTTTGAAGAAATGTGTTCAACTTTTACATGTGAAAAAGCAAATTCAGGTCAAAGTTAGAGCAGAGGCATCGTACCAGCTCATAATGTTTCAATGTCACCAATTCTTGCCATTTAGGCTAAACAATGTGTTTAAGATGGTCAGGCTGATTCTGGAACAAGAAAGTACTAATTTGTACAAAGCCTAAATCATATCCATTGTTAAAGTGACATTTTACTTATTTTTCTGTCATTTGAAGGGTTCATTTTTTGTTCTCCGTTATGATTAGTTTGATTACATTTGATTGAAAGATTCAAGAAAATATTAGCTTATAGGGAAAGGCAGTATTCAGCCTCTTAATGGATTCAAGGAAAATGTTTATAATGAAATAATTAGGCCTATGCCGATTAGAAGTATTGTGTTGACTTTTTTGCTCATGGATTTAAATATATACCAAGATCCAGTGAAAGCACACTGTGTTCATGGTGTGTTAAACAATGGCTTTGCAGTATTGTCCGAATCGCGAACGAGTCGTTATTAATTCGGTTCTTTTTAATCATTCAGTTGAATCGATTCGCAGTGCATTTGTAAATGTAATCAGAATCAGAAGAATAACTTTGTAATGTATTCGGACAGAGATGTGTGTAACTTAATCGAAAAATAGTCGTAAACATCAATAGTCGATTTAATTAAGCATAAAAAACAAGGCTACTGAGCGGTGCCTCAAAATAATCGTTTTGATTCATTAAAATGAACTGATTCGCCAAAATGATTCGGACTAATCTATGGCTGTTCCTCAAGAAATTGCTATACACGCAAAAGAGATTTGGTTTGAGAATCCGTGGGAACACATTTTAACCTGTTATGTGTATAAAAATGTTGTAAGCAGATCCAAAGTACTATATAGATACACCTCAACACACACACTTTACAAATCACAGTCTGTGTCTGTATGCAAATGAATTATGATCATAATAAAACAGCGATGAACAGTCTAAAATGTAAAATAAATAAATGTAATGCAAATCAAAATACACCTACCTTACGTGATTCACTCAATTCCTTTCATGTAATCTGATTCATTTGGTTGCTCACTGGAAGACTGTGGGAATGTGGTGACAGATGATTAAGTCAAGTGTACTTTCCTAGTGAGTTAGCAGCTACCTAATATTGGTGAATTTTGAGATGCTTTTGGTTGGCTGACTTTCAATTGTCAACCCCAATTGAGTAATATCTAAAAAAAACACAGAACTGTACTTTCCACGTTTTTATCAGCGGATGCAAACAAACCACAGCACTGGGACTCATTGGGGCTTTTATGCCTCACTGATGTTCACACATATGGGTTATAATTCATAAAACCTGTGTGAGAAGGGCTTGGTCTGTAAAAACACCGCAAGGAAACAGAGAACTGTCATTATTGAAAAACCACAAGATAGTGGATTACATTTACTCACTGGATGAAAACCCAAGAGATCTGACAAAGACTAATTAAGATATTTTATTGTGTATCAGTTTCATATAGTATTTAAAATACTATACACTCTTAAAAAATGCTGGGTTGAATACAACCCAGTGCTGGGTAAAATAGGGATTACATCCAAAAGTTCCTTCTTTTAGAATTCCTGTAATACTGATTTTGCTTTGTCTTGTGTCAGAGCTTAAATAAAGTGAACAGACTGTGACTGTGGTCAGGGGATTTTACACCAGTTCTCCTTCCAATTTTGTGTTTTCTTTGTTTTATTCGTTTTGGCACAAACGTGTCCATCTCAAAGAAAACAGGGTCATAGTACTTTCCCACCCACAGCGGTCTGTGCATCATGGTGAATCAGTCCCATTCCCATTAACAAGGCACAAAGCCTCTGCAAAGGATTGACATGCCTCTGTGCTTCATGTTTTTGTCATTAGCACCAGTCGTGCATGCAGGGAGTACCTGGAGTGCAGGGCAGGGATGGGAACCCGGGGATGAATGGCATTCCAGGCACCCCAGGAATCCCCGGGAGAGACGGACTTAAGGGCGAGAAGGGAGAGTGTGTGACTGAGAGGCTTGAGGATCCCTGGAAACCCAACTTCAAACAGTGCGCCTGGAATTCTTTAAACTACGGCATTGATCTGGGCAAAATAGCCGTAAGTATTATGTCCGTAATGGAAGAGCTCACAGCAATGTCATATGCATTCGTACAATGTGAACTGCATGAAAATGTATGATTTTTAGAAAAGAAGGAAGCATGAAACGCCTAAACCTATCCTTCAGTGGGGCGTAAGCAGATCACATGAAAACGTACAAATGAGATACGATTCAAATTATCCACTAATTCGCCAAGATGTAAAATAGTTACAGTGAGTTGTGGAAGAAGCCAATATAAAATCTGCCCTCATGCTCATGGACACTCAGTTCTGCAGCCAGGTCTTCAGCCATACATGGCATGAAACTAATCACTCAGGAGCTGCAGGAAATGACATCATAACAACACTGATTGGCTGATGGCATCGCAAGAACACACACAGTCCAAAAACCTTTACTAGAGACTATTAAAGCATCTGTCGGAAGGGGCTAACAGTGCTAGGTAGTTACTGATTACATGTAATCTGGATAATTTTTTTTTTTTTTAATTGAGTATTTGTAATGGGATTATTTTACATATTAAGTTTTTTCTTGATTACATGATTACATATTATTCACACAACAGCAATAAATGATTCAGAACTTATTGATTCTCCCTAATGTTTTCTCTTTTTTTATTATTAGCTTTTCTTTGAAATCACTGGAATATATTTCCTTTCTCTTTGTTTTTTTATTTCAATATGGTACAAGATTATCCTCTTTAAATCAACGTGATAAACAAGTTTGGTCGAGTAATCTAAAAGTAATCAAAAAGTAGTCTGATTATATTACCTGAAATGTGTAATCGATTACTTTACTAACAATTTTTATCATGTAATTTGGAATCAGTAACGGACTACAATTTGCAAGTAATCTACCCAGCACTGCATGCTAACCAGCCAAACTTCAACTATCTATGGTATTTGATAGTCAAATGAATGAATAATAAGTATATCCACAAAAATCCTTTACAACAAGGTTTCATTTGTTAACGTTAACTGCATTAAAAGATACAATGAAAAATACTTCTGAAACATTAATTAATCTTAGGCAATGTTAATTTCAATATTTACTACTACATTATTAAAATATTCAAAAGTTGTATCTGCTATATTATTTAATGGACTTGAGCTAACATCAACTAACAATGAACAGTTGTATTTCTATTAACTAACATCAAAGATGGATAAGTACTGCAATAAGTGTATTGCTCATTGTTAGCTTCTGTAAACATCAAGTAATGAGACCCTAAGTGTTCACTAGCTGTTTAATAATTATAAAATACTTATTTTAGACATAATTATTTATAACTGCCCACTTTACAGAAGTGTTTACGGAGCCATGTTTTATAAAAAAATAAATAAATGGTAACGCTCAAAGTTTTGAGAATACACTCTAAAAAATGCTGGGTTAAATATAACCCAGCGCTGGGTTAAAAAGGGACAAACTCAGCTTTTGGGTTGTTTTGACCCAGCGCTGGGTTAAAAAGGGACAAACCCAGCTATTGGGTAGTTTTGACCCAGCGCTGGGTTAAAAGGGGACAAACTCAGCTATTGGGTTGTTTTGACCCAGCGCTGGGTTAAAAGGGGACAAACCCAGCTTTTGGGTTGTTTTGACCCAGCGCTGGGTTAAAAAGGGACAAACTCAGCTATTGGGTTGTTTTGACCCAGCGCTGGGTTATATTTAACCCAGCATTTTTTAGAGTGTACATCATATCTGATTTGGCCGCCATATATGGTCTAGTTGCAAAAATGCAAAAGTGTATTGGAACTGAAGCTCAAATCAAATCTGAAAACTCTGAAAAAGTGTAAAGGTGGCTTGACATCTTGGTTTGGACAAGCAGGTTGCCCTGCTCTGAATTCACACCATTGGTTGAGCCGGATAATGATATGTAAAACTGCTCAAGCAAACATGAAAACACACGGTGTTTACACAGTGTTCCTCTTCAGGAAATCAACCGGCAAATGACTTATACTGTAGTTTGCCCATCAAAACGGGTTGGAAATATTGTATTGTGAGGATGTTTCATGTCCTCAACAACCTCTGTAGTGCCATTTAGACACTTGTTACTGTATCTGTAAAATATCTTGAGCTTGTGTTACCCACAGACCCTTATTTCAAATATTTAACCAAAAAACCATGAAAAAACCCCATTGACTTCAGGATGATGGAACCAGAAGTGATAAACATTAGTCTATAACACACACTATAGACTACAGACATTCGTATATAGGTTTTCTTGCAGTTAAAGAGGATTATTCATTCATCAGTGATTTAACAGTGGAAGGCGTCTTGGTTTTTCTTTCACAGGAGTGCACGTTCACCAAGCAGCGATCGGACAGCGCTCTGCGTGTGCTCTTCAGCGGTTCTCTCAGACTCAAGTGTAAGACGGCCTGCTGTCAGCGCTGGTACTTCACCTTTAATGGGGCCGAATGCACTGGACCGCTACCCATAGAGTCCATCATTTACCTGGACCAGGGCAGCCCTGAACTCAACTCCACCATTAATATACACAGGACCTCCACAGGTACCATTCACAAACCATAGATCATTACTTTTTGTTTTCCATAAGAAGATTGCAAATCTGACAAAGTATACACAGTCAAAATAAGATATAGACACTTAACTAATAGAAACGTATGTTAAAATGTGTCTGTGCATTAGATATTTTGTTAAATTTTGCTAATAAAAATATTAAACACATATTTCAAACTTTTTTGCTTTGATCTTAAATTTACACTATATGTATTTAACTGATTACATAGCCTATATATATTCATTCATTCATTCGCATATGTTCTTAAATAAAAAGCATGGTGTTATAAAAATGCATGCTTGTTTATGGCTGCATGTGTGAAACACACTCTGCAATTATGCTCCTATTGTGCTCCTTATGGTTTTCAAAATATGGTACACAGTAAACATCAATTGGACTCACAGCATATACATTCCAATAAATTATACATTCCACTTACTTACATTACACAAAAAGGTGTGTGTATTGAAACCTTATGATTTTAATTAAATTGTCCACTTTCTTTGTGCTCATTCTGTCACGACCAACACTTTTTTGTGATCAGAAATGTTTAAAAATACCATTCTGTCTGAAATACCATTCTTTCGTAATCATACTCCACTGTTTTATACACAAGACTCACACACTGTATTTTTTGAGAGCAGAGATAGTCTCTTATGCAGATGTCTTTGTCACATGGATTCCTGTGAGTGTTCTTTTGTGTGCTTGAATGCAGTTTGGCAGCTTTCATAAGCATCTATGCTGCAATTACAGAGAGACCAGAGGAATTTGAGAGCTCTGTGTGGTTTCTCACCAGCTCACATCCCAGCATTCACTCAACACTTACTCATGACTAGCACATCAGCACTGCTCAACAACACAGTCTTATCTAGCGGACAGGGACCTGAGATACAGTGTGCATTCATTTTGCAAAATTACACTGACTGCACAATGCACAAATAAAAATAATAGCAATAATAGTTTGTGCAACTTTTCCAAAAAACTTTGTCCAATCCCAATGAAAAATGTTTGGGATAGATAGATAGATAGATAGATAGATAGATAGATAGATGGATGGATGGATGGATGGATGGATGGATGACAGACAGACAGATGATAGACAGAAAACAGATAGATAAATACAGACAGACAGACAGACAGACAGATAGATAGATAGATAGACAGAGGACAGACAGATTGATAGATAAGACAGACAGACAGACAGACATATAGATAGATAGATAGATAGATAGATAGATAAAAAGTAGGTTTCTTCTTAAAACAATTATTTGTGCGATATGTGTGTTTGTATTTTACTTCATATTAATGATAGCACATGAATAACACATACTGTGTATTAGAGTATACAGTATTGCTGACGGTGTGTGTGTGTGTGTGTGTCAGTGGAGGGGCTCTGTGACGGGATCCAGGCCGGGCTGGTGGATGTTGGGATCTGGGTGGGCACATGTGCTGATTATCCTCGCGGAGACGCGTCGACAGGATGGAACTCTGTATCCCGGGTGATCATTGAAGAGCTTCCAAAATGAGCTTCTCATCTTCAGAAGTGATCACTGTCATCATCACCGTGGCAATAGAAGACATCGTGTTCCTGTCACAGAAAGGACCTTCCTCACAGAAATGGGACAAATTAAAGCTAATAGAGTTGCTTTGAGTCTGTGCAGCTCTCATGTCTTGTCAGATTATTATTCTCATTTTGAAAGTTGAGGAATTCAGTATTCTCAGTTTTGATAGTACAGAACAATTACAAAATAGAAGCACCATGTTTTTTGGACACTACCATAATGAAAATTTTGAGAAAAGAGGAGAAAAGTACCTTGCACAATGTAAATATCATGTTAAATATGGTGTTACTATATGAGGTCATCACTGTACAATAATACCACCATTTTAAGGAGAGTCCAACAAAGACGATCCTTGCTTTGCTGATATTTATTTAGTGGCTCTTCCTTTTGTGCCTGGATGACTACAACTCATATTTTTGTATCCATTGTGTTTTTATTACCTATAACTATGAAGAAAAGTCAAGTCATGTTTGACCTCACAAATAAAAATGTAATGTGAAAACAAATCTCATTTTCTTTACTGTAATATATATATATATATATATAAACGAGAAGAAATACCATATGCTTAATTTTTGTGAAAATGTTCCAAATTCAAATATATGTATATATTTTTTCTTATAATTTTGGGGTTGAAATATGACAGGCATTACTTTAGGACATTCCCCCCTTTATTCCATAGATAGATATTATACCATATACACATTTTTCTACATGATTATATCCGGTTTTACTGGAGAGGTCGCTGGCCATTTTTAGAACTCGTGCTTTTTTGCTTAAATTCTAAATGTTTTGGAAAAAAATAAAAAATACAACACTTTTATACATATTAAAAAGGCCTATTTTAATTTAAACCAAAGTCTTGGTAATTAGCTTAAAAAGCTGATGCAAAAAAAGCCAAAAGTACCAGCATCATAAATGGGGTGTAGATGGAAAACGCAGCGGCTGAAGTGTGTGCAGCATGACTAAGGCGTGGAATGTCTGTGGTACTGAAGTAGTTTCACAGCTGCTGCTGAGTGTTCAGATTCCCGTTACTACAGGTTAAGACACACTGGCCCATATAAGTCATATGTTGGAATATCACTGCATTAAATAACAAAAAATGCTGTTATATCCCCAATCACCCAATGATTAAAAAAACGTGCAGGTCTGAGAATCACATTGTGAAAAGAAGTGCATTTTAACATGGTTTTAAGAGTTCTTATTAATTGCATGTTATTTACAACTAAATGAAAATGTATTATAGTTTATATTATTAAATGCAGTTAGCTGAACGTTAGAGTGATTTTAACACACATTGTAAGTAGGATTTAAGTACATTTATTGTAATTTCATAATTATATTGTCATTTAAATATGGTTAAAGTGTGCTACCAAATGTACTGACAAGCATTTATGATTAACTAAAATATACTTTAATGTCATTTCTATTGAAACTTGTATGTCATGTATTTACTATTTAATTTAATGTGTAATTACACATTTGAAATGATAAAAATATATGAACTTTAAATGTAATACTGCTACACGCTACAGTATAAACTATAATCAAGTAATTTACATGTGCTTTAGTATGTTAGTCAACACATCAAAATAAGTGTACTACTTTAAAGCATGACAAAAGATTAAAGCATGACTTAAAATGTATTTTAAAGTAAAACGTTTAATTTAACATTATTACAAAGTGCATTTTTTGAAAGTCTACTTAAGTGTGTTAAAAATAGTGCTGTAAAACGATTAATCACAATTAATCGCATCCAAAATAAAAGTTTTTGTATAAATAAACACAGTACACACATATATTATGTAAACAAAAACTTTTATATTGGATGCGATTAATTGTGATTAATCGTTTGACAGCACTAGTTAAAAACCATGATTAAAGTCTTTAAGCACACTTAAATGGCCATTTATTTCATTTGATATTATATTATCTTCAAGTGCAGATAGTACACTACAAAGCACATTCAATACAATTAAGTGCACAAAATCTCAGCATATGAGCGTAAACTGCCAGTGATGAGATTAACTGTATCTAATGCAGTGAAAAGTCTGAACCGTTCAGAAGTGAAATGGTTTATCGGCTTCTGTCAGTCATTATTAAAAACATAGTCTGTGTCTGTTACATATATTCCTTTATTGGATGTGTAAAAATGGCTTATACGTACATCAGCTCTTCTTTTTATGTGTCACTGACAATAGCACATTCATATATACAAACATAACAGCCTCTCAGTTACTCAGTTAAAGCGTTCCTCTCTTCCAGTAGATGTCATCCACACACATCTGCTTAAAATCTGCTCCTGTCCTCCAGTAAAGTATCGGTTTCTCCAGGCCTGTGTGCTATTATCCTGCAGCGTGACATCATTTCCTGAGCATGCTATATTTCTAAACGTAAGTACATTTTTTAAAATGGACTATGAAATTATGTCAAATTACTTTAAAGTACATTTTAAATCATATTTTAATAATCTTTTGTCATGTTTTAAAAAGTACACATATTTTGATGTGTTGACCAACATACTAAAGCACAT